ATAATACCACCCATCAACTCACCGAAAGGCAAGTTATTCACCCCTACCGACAAGGCAGAGGTAATTGCCAATTACTTTGAGTCGACTTTCACATTCAACCAATCTAAACCGCTCCCGGATCACAACACAATAATACAGTCAATAAACCTCCCAAACTACGGCTCATATCACAAAATTCATTACACAAATCCTAAAGAAATAAAACAAATCTCTCTCCCGATAAAAAAGACCAGGTCATGATAATATCAATAATTCAATACTAAAACATTTACCAGCCCCCGCAACTGCATACTTAATAAATATATACAATTCATGCTTCCATACGTATATAAATCTATATACAATTCATTTTCCATCCACTTGGAAGCATGCCATCATTCTTCCGGTTCCAAAACCAAATAAAAATTCAGCCAACACCGACAGTTATCGCCCGATACGCCTTTTACTATCTCTGTCTAAAATTTTCGAAAAAATAATACTCCAACGTCTTAAATTGCACCTACAAATATCAAAAGCTATCCCAAGAGAGCAGTTTGCATTCACAGATCATATATCCACATAACATCAACTCCTCAAAATCACAGAACATCTCAACACCGTATTTCAGTAAAAACATCATACAATACTCATATCACTCGACATAACACAGTTGATAGTCTGGCACCAGGCACTAATATTTAAATTAAAGAAAATAGGCACTCCACACTACATCACCTCAGTAATTCAAAACTATTTATCCACGGTAGCCACCAAATACACCCATAAAATATCTTGGACTGCACATGGACACAAAAGTGAACTGGAAACAGCCCATAGACATCAAAGTAATACAAACTAAAAACAAATTGCATTAATTAAAAACTCTAATAAATATAAATAATTATCATATCTAATCATCAATTACATAAAGAATTCAACCTCGATCCCATCATGCACCACATCACCTACCTATCCCACAATTTCTTCTCAAATATGTACCATATCCAAACCTTGTCTTCATTCAAACTTTGCAAAAACCCCATCCATCCCACTCGCATAGAAAATAAATACCCATTCCACATATTTTGTAAATTGTTCACAGATCTGGAATAGTTCTTATGAGGTGCCATTATGGTTTCCTGAACCTCTGTAATAGTATTAGGTTAG